CTCTGTAAACCGATGCACGCGCATATATAAACATTATACATAGTGAAACACTCAGACGCTCTTGCGCGCACTCGTGAGATGCATGTGTGTGTGTGACACAGCAGGATATATGTATGCACGTGTGTTTCTCATATGTGCGTGTACGTGTTTCAGATGAGTACGTATGATGTTTATATATGTGCGTGCATCGGTTTACAGAGGATGTATTTATGTGTAATTGTCTCAGTAATGTGCGCAAGAGTGTCTCAATAGTTAAGTCCTAAACGGCCCCTCATACTAACACACACACACACACACACACACACACACACACACACACACACACACACACACACACACACACACATACTCACACATGCACATACTCACACATGCACACATGCATGACGGCAGTCAAAAAAAACCAGTCACGGTGACTATGTCCACTTCTTATACGCAGTCAATGATTCCAACACAGACAAGCAGTAATCAAAGGGAATGTGTGTGTGTTTGTGTGTGTGTGTGTGTGTGTGTGTGTGTGTGTGTGTGCGCGTGAAAATCTGATTGCAACACAGAGTCTTTTGTAACAAAGCAGAGCCACACAAGTTGTGGTTTTTAACTCATGTGATCACATCTTTGAATGTGTTCGTTTGAATTCCTAAACATGGTTCTTGCCTTTTTATTTTAAATATTCACTTTGAAAATAATATGAAGCAGTTGTTAACTTTGCATTCCTCTTTGAACGTCTCCTTTACCTTTGAACTCATGTGTAGAAATCTACTTGAAGTTTAATTGCTGTATTCTGCATCCTAACATCTGCACTCCTACTCCTTAACTAACCCTAATTGACTGATCTAATATCAGATAGTTTAGCTAGATACAAGTTAAATAACATGTCTGTGAACAAGTTATTTGCAAGATATGTTAATTAACAACATTTCCATTAAGAAAATGTAAACCAACCGGAATGAAGCTCAATTCAAAATATGTCGTTGCAACATAAAAAATGTGCCATATATTTATTTTGTGATCACATTCACATGTGTATGAACTATTTTGGTTTCATATTTAATATCCAAAATAAAAAAAATAGTTCTCCTTGATTCTGTTTGGTCCAACATAGCAGGCAAATTGGGTTTCTCCTGTGCAAGATGTCAAGTCCAGTAACCCCTGAGGGTCACAGCGTATCTCGGCCCTGAGGTGTATTTACATAAATATCTAGTTTGGTCTGGCTTTAATGATGCATAATTCCCCTCTCACTGAGCCTCCCACCTCCCGTCTTCCATCCTCTCTCCAGCCTTTCCTTAACCCGCCTGTGCTCAGCATCCCCGTGCTCAACATCGCACTGTGCACGTTTCAGCTCCACCATCACCCCTTAGCGCCGATATATAATTAACGGCTTCAACCACACTTTAAATCCCTCCCCCCATCTGGGGACCATTAGTTGTTTTTCCTCAACCACATTTAACGTGTCCATCTCGCTCTCTGTCCGTCTGTCCATCTGCCCCTCGGTCTGCCTCTGTTTTCATCCCTCGTGCCATATTATTCCTTTGCTCTTCATGGTGTAATTTAATTCCACCTCCCTGGATTGAGCGCCTGCCCATGAGGAACAACGAGGTCGTAATTGCATTTCGGTTTGGATGCAAATTATTCTTCCAATTCAATGTGGACTTTTTTTTTATACAGTCAACAGCGGGGGGGGGGGGGGGGGGGACGTTCTGTGTGGACAAAGACATAAGCATGACCTCAGTTTGGCAGCGTGGGCGTAGCAGATTTCCTCAGTGAGATTTGACACATTTATAGGTGACAGTTTTCTTTTCTTCTAAATTAGATTGAGAGCAGTTGGTCAAATCGTAGCTATACTTGCGAATAGGTTAGTTTAGGAGACTGAATGAGTGCAGTGGTTGGTTTATTCATTATTTTGGGTGTCCTGTGCATGCAGATTTGGCACGTTATTCATATGCTTTATATCAAAAGTATATAGACGATACGTATATTACCTGTCTCCAGCAGAGGTAAGAAATATAAAAAAGCGCTGCCACAGCTCACAGTCTGGCCTGGATTTAATGTCTGGTCAGATGCCGCCTCATCCGTCCTCTCACTCATCACCGGTGCCAAGTGAACACTGAGGACAGAGACGGAGCGGGAGCGAGCGAGTTAACTGTTGGCGCTGGCCCTGAATCTTACATGACTAACTGACGATTAGCGCTGCCAAGTCTCTGCCATGGATACGCAGGTATTGGCAGGACATCTGAGTAGACTATGGGGAGCGTTGAAGCAAATGGAGTCCAGTGCTAATTCCTAGAAGTGGGCGCGAAAGACGCGCTGGACTCGTGTTTGACTGCCATAAACTGGTCTGATTAGGATCGGGATTAGTGTTTTCTCACACTAGATAAACATAATGCGGACACACACGCAGCACACTGTGGTTCCCATCCCATCGTCACCTTCCTCTTTCAATTCCCTCCTTCTCCTTCCTTCCTCCACCGCTGCATCCTCACCTCCCCCTCTCCGTCCACCTCTTGTTTCCACAGTCTTGTTATCAGTGGCCGTGCGCGCTCGCCTCCCTGAAGGATGCCTCGCCGAGCACAGAGTCTGTTCTCCCCGCCGCCGGGCGGTACCCACGCAGACCGATGTCGCATCGAAATGAGCTTTGAGAGCAGAGAAAAATGGAAAAATGAATGTTTGGCAGGAAAAAGAAAAAAATAGTATTTTTTCATTATCCAATGTGCATGTTGGCTCAATGACTTCACGCATGAAAACATCCTGGATGTTTTTAAGTGGCTACCTGATAAAATCAAGGTGATGAAGCTGAAGGCTCCTAAATGTTTCCCTAATGAATTTCTAGAGAGATGACACAGACACAGAGAGAGGACATCTGTTCTTTTGGGAACTGAACGAGCATTGAGCATTGCAGTGTTTGTGCGCGTGTGTGTGTGTGTGCAGACTGCTTCCTCAATGAAAGTGTTGATTAAAATTCCGGCTGACTAACTGCATCACTTTCACAGTCATATAAACGAGATATTTCACAATAGAAAACACTGTCAGACTCAGTCGGACTCACATAGTAACTAGTAGTGTATTAATGCATTCTTCCCTCTGTACCCTTCTGGAGGAAATACTAAGTCGCTTTATCAAGCCAGCTGGAGAAATGAGGAGCCCAAATGGTGCATTTTTGTGGCTTAAAGAGATTCATTGTTTTTTGGATATATTCTTTCTGGACGTCATGCAGAGTTATTGCCTTCACTCATGAATAATAAAGTGTTATTAGAAAAGGCCAATACATTGTTTTTCACTACCGCCGAGCACGCTGGTCAGTTTGGAACTCACCGAGATTCTGTCTGTAAAGGGAATAAATGCCACATGGGTGTATTTATTAGGCATGCCTCGGAGCTCCATGTGTTCTTGAGGTGAGCATTATACTGGATGAAAACCGCAAATCCAGACCAAACCCTTTCTACGGGTCAGCGCTTCCCAGGCAGCGGGCTTCAGCTCTCAACTCAGAGGCTGTCTGGAATGTAACGGTCACACACACACACACACACACACAGAAGCTTTTAGATCAAAGAGACTATAATCAGGGGCACGAAGACGAACCTTTCACTGGTTTTAGTTTAGGTTCAAGGAAGAAAGAGAGAAAAGAGACACAATTACACATTAGTTCACTTTTCTATTGCACATACGGCTTTAAAAGCAAAGTGAGACTCTTTTGTTCAACATGTCCCTGAGCAAGAGGGACTTTTTTGGTATTAAGAGTACTAACATGTTTTAATTTGGCTTTAAAGAACGTCAGCATCCACAAATAGCTCCACACACACACACACACACACACACACACACACACACACACACACACACACACACACACACACACACGCATATCTTATTTTGAGTCATAAAGAGCCATTTTAAAAATGAGACACATTTAAATGATGAAGTGATCTCAAGCTGTCGGTTTAGCTCAGTACCTCAGTACTCCTCAGGGGTCGGGCGGGCTGGTGGTCCCCCCCCACCCCCCCTCACCCCTCTCCCTCTGTGAGAAAGGGAGGGCGACTCCGGGTGACAATCTCCAAAACAGAGCGACACAGAGGGAAGGCATATGTCCTTGTGTTTGGGGCAGTCATGTGTCAGCACCCAGCCTGAGGACCATCTGCCTCGTATCAGGGGTCATCTGGAACTTCTCATATCTCCGCTTCTCGTCTTCGCTCCTCTCCTGCGCGTCTCTTTTAACGTAGCTCTTTTTGTCACGTTAGCGATACTGTAAGAATCCAACAAAGTGAAAGGTTACTAGCTTTTTTCTAAATATTTATTAATGGCCGGCACTTCCATTTTTGCAAGGCTCTGCAGGCTCCAGCGAAAATGAATAAAAGAAAAAGGCCACGACTCCAGAGCATCTGAGATGAGGAGGTAGGGTAAGGAAGGAGGATAGGAGGAGCTATGTGTCAAAGGAAAAAGAGAGGGGATGCGACAAAGACAGAGAAGGGAGAGGCGAGTAGGAGAGACAGAAGATGAAAGCTCTGTAGCTCAAACCAAGTCCCAACTTGGCCTGAAATCTCCTGTTACCATGGTGATTTAATGTGCTGTCCCCCAGAGACTCCGTCCTGGAAACACAGGGGTATCGGGGGGGGGCAGAGGAGTAACACACAAGGACAGGCGGGAGGGAAAAAAAAAAAATGAAGGGGCACAGGTGGGCTAAACAAGACCAATACGACCTGTGCCACTCAGGAGAGCGTTGTGCCGCTGGAAGGAGTTTTTCCCCTCAGCTCTGGGGAGGGATTTACAGTCTTTAGGCTAATGGTCTGGATTCTCCGCCCCTTGCTTTCAAGAAAACAAGGACAACATGTTAATACTATGTTCATGTTGTTATTATGTGCATTTTATTCGCCCTAACCCTAACGCCTAAACATGAATATGGGTTATTATTGCAGCATTAGCGTTCTGTAGTATATTAGTAGCCAACTCGCTGCTGATATGAAGGCAAATCAATTGGTAATAATTGCTCCCGTTCTCTCTCTCCACAGCTGTATCGTTCATGAGGCACAGCTCGTCGTCCTTTGGATTTGGCGTGAGTTCCACCTCCCTTCTCCTCCTTCAATGGATCAATTAGCCATACATTTTGTGTCTGTGGTTTATTGATGAATCCCATTTCCAAAGTGTCATTGCTTCCTTTGTTTCCAAGGTAACAGGGCAGAGAAGCTCAGGTTGGATGTCAAAAGGCCTTTTGTGATTGCTAAGAAAAATATTAATCTTAATGACGGTGAAGTGAAAATGGAATCCTTCACACCCGAGGCCACTGAGGAGAAATGTGATTAGCGTGATCTGATCTGAATATTATTAACCATACTCTACAGTGCTATCTGTTCATTTAAGATTGGATTTTAATCACCAAGGGCTTGGATAATTATGACCATTTTAATAAAATAGAAAGCAAGTTAATATAAACCAACGCAAAGGGGCTGGAGAACAGCAGCTTCCGCTCCTATGATGATGAAGGCTTTACATGGTATATTGTGTGGGTAAAGAATGTAATACTAATAATAATAGAAATATGTATAACTTGGGCCATAGCGTTGGATGAATTTCTAATGCAGCATGAAGTCACAAAGACAATGTTCAACGCTTCAACACTCACAGTGGCAATAAAACTCTTCCAGTCATGTGGAACAGTTGCAGAATGTTTCACACCAATAAAACCTGCCAATATTTATTTTTACTTAATTTGTTCAAGTTACATTTCAGCAAACATCCCAGAATGATTGAATGTAAAACAGTAAAGGTATAAAAAATACAATACTAATTTGTTGTTCAATGTTCAACATTTATTTCCACATCAAAAAATATTTATAAATTAACATTTACAATCGGATTTGTGTCACCCTCACATGCAATTCAGTATAACTTCGATGAGAAGGTCATTGAGATGTTTGCCACTCAGAACAGTGGAATAACATAAATAAACATGTTATATATGATATATTCCATATTACAAAAACAATTACAGTATTGACATTTTCACAATGTAATATTATAGATTTTTTTATTTTCTTTTGGACTCGTGGCGCTCCACGTGGGGCGACGCCCCATTTTTCCTCTATTGGCCACTTGCTACTGGTCACAACCCATTTGATACCTGTGAGCCTGGTGGTGCATCCAGTGTTTGGAAGCATATCAGCAGCGCCATGTACCACTATCATAGTATTATGAGTATACTACGTGTTTTGTCTTTACAAAGCTGGAGACATTGGGACAAGTTAGATTGGACCACTGCAGAAACACTCAACCCCTTTACTGTCTTCCTGTGTTGCTCTTTTTTTTGTTCCTGCTTTAGTTTGATGCAACGCTGGACGTCCTGTCGTCTTTCATTGTCCTCTGGCGCTACAGCAATGCAGCAGCTGTGCACTCTGCTCACAGAGAGTATATGTGAGTTCAAATAGTGTTAGAAAAATGTGTTGTGGTGTGATGCAATTTGCGTTTCTCTTTCTCCACTTGCTGAAACGCGAGAGAGCTTCTGAATTGATATATTCGTCTTTCCATTTGTTTGAATTTTGTCTGCAAATACCCACTGGTTCGTTTTTTGCAAAGATGTTAATTCAGCAGCTGAATGTATTTCATGTGAGGGATGGTATTTATTTTGGGGACTGTGGGATATTTCAGACCGGATGATGCTACATGAGCTCGTGCTTCTAGAGGAAGGCACAGCGTTAAACTAAACTCAGAAACATCAATAGAGAAATCAATGAAAAGAATTTCGGGGTGAGACAGAATGATATTTTTAGTTTAAAGTGTGTCCTACTGAAAGAACAGACAAGGACATTTGCAATTAGTCAGGTTGAAATGAATCGAGACTAAAAACACATACACTGTACATATGTCTAAATATGTTTGACTTGTTCTTCTAATATGTCACAGTGGTTGGTGAATCTTTTCTTAGTTTGCCGGACTTAAGGCCACTGGCAGTATCACTTATAAGCGTGTCCATCCATGTCGGTGTTCCGTGTGACTGATCTTCATCCAGCTGAAGCTCCTAAGACGCTGCTCTCTGTGTGTCTCCTGTGTGCAGGGCATGTGTAGTCCTCGGGGTTGTGTTCATTCTCTCCTCCATGTGCATCGTTGGAAAGGCCATCCATGATCTGGCGACCAGGGTGCCCCCAGAAGTGGTAAGATCACACACACACACACACACAACATATGCAGATACTCTATGGTGTCCAGGTTATGGATCGAGCTTCAAAGAAAGTTGAATCCTATACTTTGCATAAGAGACCCCTTTGTTCAAACTCCACGCTGGACGTTTGGAACACAGGCTTCCTGCTATGAGTCTTAGGTGGCAAGCCTCAACTAAAGACATAAAATGAAAAAAGAAGTGAAAAAAAAATCTTTTCAAGCTTTGTAACGCTCCTCATTTGACGGTTGTTAGAGGCTGTGACGTGCCCCTTGTGACAAGCACACTGAATTTCATGTACAACAACAGTAGAAATGCCCCTTTAAAGATTTCTATTTATTTATTTAAACTGAATATCATCTCATATCATATCAAATAATGGCAATGATTAATGTTTTATCCAATGCAATCCAATGCTGTACGACAGACGTCCTACCGCATTGGATTGCAGGGGACAATGTTTTTTTTTTGCATTTTGCAGTTCTGATCAGGGCTGTTGAGTTGAAGGTTAAAACCTGCCTGCAGCGTCACTATGAATCTCACAGGGTTTTGTGAAAAAAGCCTCCCGGCTCTTTCCCCCAACAACATAAACAACCTGCTTATGAGAAAAGTGACAAACAACAGCGCACATAAAAAAAACGTGGCATGAGTAATGAAAATCTTCAATAGCCTTGAGTTCCATACACACACACACACACACACACACACACACGCGCTCCCTGTTGTGAGCGAGGTATCTTTTTATAGCCCTCTGGTGTAGCTCCTCTGACGTCAGACATTTCTCCTCCTTCCACCTGACTGTTTTTCCTTTTCTCACAACACACACACACACACACACACACACTTTATTTTTAATGTCAACACTTCACTGCCCTCCCCCTCCTCTCCCTCTCTCTCTCCCTCTGGAGGTGTTAAGACTATGAATAAGATCCCTCAAAATCGTCTTTCTGTTGCCGGAGCACGCGCCCCCCCCCCCCCTCTTCCGTTGCCGTGGTGTTTGGGCAGCGGCCCCCCCTCCCCTTCATTGCGTCTCGTCTGGGCTTCTTGTTTTGGTCTGTAAATGATTTAACCTTCGCCATCTGTCCTTAGCGAGATTTATGCCCTCAAAAAAAAGTTGCGATCCCTCTTTAAGATTCCAAGCTTCCTAGTTTCAAAGCTCTAAAAGGCCTTTCCTGGTTTTTTGGAATTGGGCCGAGCAGCATATATCAAAATACCTTCATAATTAACTTGCACAGTTGAATTTTACAGCAGCCTTGAGCTGAGGGGACATCTGAGACTTGGGGGGACTCTTATCCTTCTTTTACGGAATCACGCTGGCGTTTTCTTGTAAACACATGAACACTCGTTGTCTGCTCGAGGCCAAACAAAAGCACTAGAAGCAATCCGTGTCTTCTCTGCTGTCCGTTTCTTGTTGGTCACTACCAACTGCTGATCGATGCAAGTTATGGGCGTTGGAATGTTGGATTCCCGCTAGTGTGTATGCCGTGCGTCCTACAAACAAAGCGTGTACCTGCTCAAGTTTTCAGATTGAGCGTACAGATGGAATCGCGATGACCTGCTGTCTACTGCACATCCTCCCTCCTCTTGTCCCTGCATCTCTATGTGGTCGTAAAGCTTGGCACCTCAATGGGATGCAAATTTTAAATACATTTTTGCCCTATTTAGACTGTGTATTAGGTAGCAACAATCACCTGCACAGTGAATTTCCCAAATATTGAATGCTTGGTAGCAAATAACTGTATATTAAACAAAGTAGGAAACAACCACAATAATGAGAACAAAAGATAAAGTCAGAGTCTTGGTATTCTTGTGGATGTACTGAGACTTAAAGGAAGGATAACTGAGGTCCGATGGGAGAACACAAACACATCCGTTCCAGACAAACACACTGTGTGTCCTCTGCAATATTTGAAGTGCTCGTTTGATGGTGGAAAGAAATGAGTCATTGAGGCTCCTTTCAATGAAAGTCCGAGGGACTGAAGCCGGCGGGGAGGCAGGTCGAGAGCAGCGGCTTCCCCGTGGCAGCGTCCGTTTGATGCTCCGCTGCCATTGTGTTGAGGGAAACTCTGGGTTTGAAGTCTCGGAGGAGCTTCCTGACACTAGCAAGAGCCTATTACCACTGTCTCTTTGACATCCTCTTTCTATCTGCACCATCCCGCTCCATTTTGTATCGGTGATACGTCCTCGCTCTCTCGTTGTATCCATCTCTGACTTACTATTTGGGCAACAGCCCAGTGCATTGAAGCCTCAATCGAACAGTCAGAGGTAATACATCACACCAGCAGGGCTCTGATAGTACAACGTGACCGACAGCACCGGATAGTGATTACCAAAAAGGATCGGAATTTAGAAGAGTGGAAATCCATCCTCTGGTTTCTCCCTCTGGGAGTTTAAAATAGAAAGGCTGAAAGATTACACCAGAACTGCAGTGCAAAAGGTATAAAAGGTTCATCAACTTGATGCCTGCGGCTGGAAAGTTGCATTGAGCGGACAGATTAAAAATAAGGACTCCGGATTCCCGTCACGTCCGGGGTTGCTGCTCTCATGGCGAGCCGTCCGTGTGCAATGTCTGATTCCACACAGAGAGCTGAGACCGGCTCCCCGTGGACGCAGAGAGGGAAACACACACTGATGCAACAGATACATGCATGCATGCACACACAGCGCACACGCACTCGTTTCTCTGATCATGATCTCAATAGATTACCATAATCTGAATAAAAAATCGCCTGTAAAGTAGAGAACATAAGCAGCACCCAGCCTGGGAAGGAAGTGGATGTGTGTAAAGTTAATTTAAAAATCGAAATCTAATCTAGTTCCTTTTTACTAGGACTTTATCAGGATGTCATATAAAAAAGTGTTTAAGGATTTACAAGTTAATAGCTGACCGGCAATCCGGAGCTCAAACTAAGACCAAAAGTGCATGTCGCTTAACAAGATGATACAGCATATGTGAACAAACAGAACTCAACACTGCAACTTGTGCTTGTTTTCCTTAATAAGGAACTTTTCCCAATAGCTTTTTGATGAGATCAAATAAGACTGAGATACTTTGAAACAATTTACATGCAGAACAAGTTTTGCTACATGATTTTAATAGTTAAATTCAAAGATATGTACTTCACGTTATACATTGTAGGAAAATCCCTTAACTATAACTATACTATATATCTATACGTATATTGTCCACCATCCAAATGCTGAGTGAGAAATGTATGGACGAATTAATGCATTCCAATTCCCCAAAAAGCAGGTTTAAGCAAGTGTACATAGCACGCACTTTCTCCTCTCATTCCCACAATGCAATGTGTCATAGTTTGATGAATGAGACCAGCCTCAATGTCCAGGCATTTGAACGTAGAAGGAGGAAAAGCACGTGTGTTACTAATAATGTGGCATCTGGTGAGCCATGACGGTGGGACAAGGAGCCGGAAACGGATGGATGCGTTGGGTAAAGAGAACAGAGCAGTGACAACGTTACTGGTGGCGTTGAATCGTCTGTTCATCTGTTACTGACGGTCGAGCTGAGGCCGGTCGGGTGGCTCATCCTGTCTGAGCGATAACGTTGGCGCTGCTCAGTGTTTGCCTTCCTGACCCCGGCCTGTCTCGTTATGACCACAACCTGTTGAACACGCGTCCTCCTCCCTGTCTTCCCGCAGGACGACTTCCTCTACAGCGTTGCCATAGTGAGCGGACTCACGTGTGCCGTGCTGGCGGTGGCCAAGTTCATGCTGGGGAGGGTGCTGACCAGCCGGGCGCTCATCACTGACGGTATACACACACAAACACACACAAACAGCTGAACAATTATAATGAAATGTGCACCAGCCCAAGAGGTGTTAACGAAGCTAGGAATATGAACTTTTAATTCATTCAGAAAATAGGTGTCCCTAACCTGCTTTAGTGAAAATGTGTTGTTTTTTTACAATGAATACAGGCGTAAAAGCAATTGAGAAGAGATTGAAAATGTTTGTTCGTAAGTTTTGCTTCGCTAGAACAGGCAGAATGATAATGTGAAAGTACTGCTGAGGGTAAAACGACTTCTAATGCAGCTAGTGGCTCCTGCCTGAGCTTTATTATTCTAGACGTTGCTAATTTTATACTGTTGGGTAGTTAAATGAACTCGATTGCAATACTTCACTATGGTTTTGTCATTATAGTCCTTCTGACTTAATCTCCAATAAATACACGACCATAACTGTCAGATAGATTTGCAGGAAAATGTTCTAACCGTCTCTTACCATGAAGCAATCGTAAAAGACTGGTAAATGTCAGTGTGATCCAACCCCAAAGACTGCCAAAGATTAAAACCAAAGCCACGGAACAAAGTCTGTGTGTGTGTGTGTGTGTGTGTGTGTGAAAGAGCTAGTGGGTACTGACCCTCTCTGGCTGCTCACAGACACACACACATGTGAACAAAGCTCAGCACACACACACACACAAAACACGCGCTGCACGCTGCTGTCCCAGGTCTCCAAACGTGCAGGGCATCAATCCAATAAACCTGAGCTTGCTGTTCTCTGAGACTGGAATTATTTCCCACAAGACGACACGCTTAGTGCGGGCAAGAGAATAACCCACCGCGCCAGCTTCCACACGAGGACAAATGGGATTATCAGAAGAAAAAAGCTGCTATGACTCCAATACAGTTGGTTTAGTCAACAATTAAGTTGCATTTGTATCCATTTTAATTTGAGAAGAAGAACTCCACAGAATCGGTGTACTCAGGGATGTGTGGGGATAGAACCCTCCATAAACCATGAAATTGTCGTCTCAACGGTTTTAACAGTTGACATACCATGCGTTAATTGGTGAGGTTTAAAGCTCATTACTGTCAAACGCTGTTACAGACAAAGCCTTTATGCCATAAGCTGGTCTGTTGTTCCACATTAGCTCCAGCCTACACACGAGAGTCACATCAGTATTCACATCTGACTCACAACGTAAATAAATGTAAACCAAAATGTCTAAATAGTGACAAAAGACCTCCGTGCCACTTTTGGTAATATCTGTGTAAGTCCTTCGATGGGACCTAATGATGGATTCCTAAAGGCGCAATTCACTCTAAAATAAAAAATGCACAATGGGACTATTTTAGTTGAAATCACACAAACAAGAACAATCTCACACCAAAACATTTAATCGACAGCATTAAAATGGATTATGTTTATTTTAATGCTTATGTTTAGGAGAGCTCTGTCTCTTTAGGTTTCTTTAAGGCAACTGAGGCTCCTGCAACACTCTTGCACACAATACATGAACAAATCTCACATTTGCTGCATCTTTGTGTTTTTCAGGGTTCAACTCTCTGGTCGGTTCCATCATGGGATTTTCCATTCTGATCAGCGCCGAAGTCTTCAAGCACCATACTGACGTCTGGTACCTGGATGGCACCATGGGCGTTCTCATTGGACTCATCATTCTGGCCTATGGCATCAAGTACGATAAAATACCACCCGTCTACACTTTTTTGACATATTGATTTGAAATTTTTTCCAAAAAAGAAAACGTTTTCATTCAGAGGAGTCTTCTGATCGGCCTTTAACTGTTTAGAACGAACATGTTCCGTTAACGGTGGGACCGTTTCTGCGCCCACAGGCTCCTGAAGGACATGGTGCCCCGCGTGAGGCAGACCAGGAACTACGAACGCTTTGAGTGAGAGCGCGCGTTGAAACACAGAAGGCGGCGTGCTGCCCTCCGCCCTCTCCGCTCCACCTTTCATACACACTTTGATAAACATCTCACCGGCACATACACGAGCCTAACGCCCATCTTCTCATACAATAATATATACACACCTGCTGTGCACTGTACTTAGCGAAATCACACATTCAGACACAACACACATGAACGCACAAACGCAGGTGTCGGAGAGACTCAGAGGGACGAGTGAAGCGATTGAAGACCCCATCCTGGAGAGAAAACACAAAAAAGTTATTTTTATTTATTTTATGCTCTCCTTCCCCTTTTTTTTAATGAAACCACCAGTTTCCAAATAAAAATGTAGAACAAGGAGAAAGCAAGAGGCTTAGTCTCCTGTGTTCATCAGGAGATGCAATAGTTGCTGTTGCAGTTTTCCGCCCTGCAGGAGACTCCATTATGTCAATTTGACCTTTACGTGTCCAGCTATTGTCAAGTTGAGAAAAACGGGTAGCAAGATCAAAAAGCATCAAATGATGATTTTACTAAAATGAGGCATCCACAAAAATTCACGTGAGATTTTCTTGAGAAAACGTATAATAAGCTCTTTTTAAGTGTCTTTGTCTCTGTATTAACAATATCTACTCTGTGATGAGCTGAGTGCTACTCACTAATTATATTTAATAGGATTGTATTGTATTTGTAGTTTCTTCCTAAATCAGACAGAAAGTTCCTGTTCAAACGTATACCAGCCTACAAAAAGGAAAGTGAACCCGGTCACAGAGTTCTTGAGTCAGCAAACACAGCTTTGTCCAAGAGGTAAAAACAGTTCAAACATCTAGAAACCTGTCGACTAAAGGCAAACAGCAGTAAAGGGAAGAGGACAAACGTTTGCCATAGGAAGGCTGTAAGTCTAGAGTGCATATGCACATAACTCAGCCCTCTGCTCTGTGGCATTAAAGCACAAATTAGCCAACTGGTTTGTTGCCAGTTCAGCACATTGGCTTCTTAAAAACGAAGATTGATCTCAGAGTATTCGGTGTGTTTTGTCCTAATTGCTGTGTTTGACTTCGCTGTACATTGAGTGCGTGGCTTTTGATTAGTTTACATGCACAAATACCTGGTCCAGTGATTTACTGAAATCCGCACAGCGGCTCTTCTAACAACCGATGAACAATTATTTAAAAAAAAAAGTTTTTAAGGGTGAGAAGGAAAAACATGTCTCAATATTTACGCTGCATCTTTTGTTTTTACACCTTGTCATGTTCAGATGATGAAAGTATGTGACTCTGCAGGAAATTCCCTGATATTATTTGTTATAGCCATAATGTTTTTCATTTTTTTCTGTAGAATTTTTTACTGAATCCAGTTTTGATATCAGCTAATTTGTTTCCTTCTTTTTGCCCTTGTGTTGACTGCAAAGTTCCTCTGGAAAGTTGGATGAAAAGACGTTTAGAACCTATAAAACAAAGCACAACAACAAAGGTGAAGCAGCCAGTGGGAATACCATTTTCATTGCCATCATTTACAGATATATGTATATTTTTCAATCTGCTTACCTGCTTATTACTCATTTATTTTGCATGTTAGTATTGTTACCGTCCATCAGTATGTGTAACGACATGAATGTAAATACAAACCACACCGTTTTTAAGAATGTCTATTACACCGTTCAGTGCATAAGTAGCAAAAAGTCACCATATTGTCGTAGTCCTTTGTATGGCCGACATAAAAAGGCTGTTTTTGGAGTAGGCATCATATATTTAAAGTGCAGGATGATCAATGTTACATATGGTTGAAAAATATTTACTATATAGCGCTTATACTGTAAATGTTGTTTTACATATTACTGTAGAATATTGGTGAAAGTCTTACTTTAAATGTTTGCACTGTGAGTGGAAATCTCAGACTGGATGTAGGTGAGACTGACTTATCACTTATTAGACCATTTCAAATCGATCGATCAAATCGTTGTTTCACGTGTCGGAACCAGACAAAAAGAAATTACCCGGTGGCTCAAATGAATGTTGTTTCACTTGGTTTTAGTTCTCGGACATGAAATTCACCTAATTTTAAAAAACTCTCACCCAAGAAAATGAGCAATTAGATCAATGAAACTGAGTTTTCAATTATTGATTGATATTATGAAAATGTGTTAGAATAAACAAAACTTAAAATAAATGTTTATGAATAACACATTGGCAAAAAGACACATACAGGTATTTGAATGGGCATGCTACCCATGAATAAAAATACTTTAAATGTGGATCCAGAGTGCCGTTGCGCCCCCTTGTGGCTGCCGGCCATGTGACAGGAGATGTAATTAGTCTTCCAAGGGAGAGAGACTGAATTCATCCCAGACGGAGGGAAGTAACAAAGGCCTGTGCACTGATCCTAGACGTGCCTGCATCCTCTCTACACTGTAATTATCATCTCTCACTTGACATTGTGGACGAGGTGCAAACACTTGATTGTTATAGCTCGTTTCGGTGTGTGAACAATATATAAGTTGTAGTCGTGAATCAGCTCACAATGCTGCGACTCACCAACAGCAGATTGATTTGTAATGTTACCGCTCCGATGCACACAAGACAATCCCTACAATGACTTTTCCTAGCAAAGCACAGTGTTTACATGCCAACACCCACCGCAGCAGGCGCAGAACAAACTCCTCGTAACTCTTGGTAACAGTGTGCTTCATGCGCTCGTCTTCTCACATGAAATATAGCGTATTGATGAACTGATTACTATTTTGATCTTGGCAACAAGTCCTTTCTACCTCTCTTCTTTGCACTTATTTTCATACAAGTTTTTTGTTGTGCACGTTCATGCTACATTCAGGCCTGGTGCTGTGATGAAAACCGCGGCGCCATTGCACACCTTAGTAGTGGGCGATCCTTGCTGGACTGGACGGTGTAGAATCCGAATACGCCCCCCCACCACAAAAAATAGGTTTGAACCTGCCTGTTCTGATGTCCTGTCCAGGGAATCACAGTTATTTTTCACTGCCAAATGAATTGCTTGAACCGTCACAATGACTAGAAATCACCTCGGACATTTGCACAAACATGCATTCGTTGGAGAAGTGGTGAGATGCTTGAATCACTGATCCAATGAAATAACGATAACGAAGACACATAGAATTCTGCAGCTTGATGCATCCGTCTTCTCTTTTGACATGTCTCTTTCATTCAGTCAAACCCTTGTGTGGATGGATAGACAAATTATTATTATTGCTTCATCTGACTGTTAATTTGACGTGATTTAACTAACTATGATAGCAATGCTACCAATCGGTGGCTATACTACTTTGCATGAGCGTGTAAAACCTCTCACAGCTTCAGTGCGTTGCAGCCACACAAACACACACACACACACACTCACACAAATATACAAAACATCAAGTATATGGAAAGATGTAATGGAATTTGCATTAAACCTGACTGTATATGACAGAATATATTATTTGTCTGCTAGTACAGTAATGACATCCGTGGTAACAGATGATGTAGAAATGGTTTATTTATGTAAAGAAACTATGAGGTATCTCTCTATGTCAAATAAGCAATGTTTTATTGACAAAATAAAGGTTTATCCTGCTCAATGCTGAAACATGTTTCTTTTTTGTTGCCGTGGAAGGTTTTCCTACCACAACACAGATATCCGTGTGCCAGAGCAGTCAGCATGGAACCAATACTACCAACGTATTTCCCTTCTTGCATCTTTGGTAACTACATGGTGGAGAACTAACAGCGAGGAGATGGCTGGGAAATATGTCTTCATGCTGTTTCTATGCAGTTGACAGTGGACTATGAAACACAACGGGGGGTATTCATCATCATCAGACAGGCAGCGGAAGACTATTTCTCAACTGTATTTGTTGGCAAATGATGTGCTCAGGAGAAGTGAATCGGCACCTGAAGGGTTTAGGGACTACATGAGGGGAAAAATAAATCTTTTAAATAATGCTGCATCAAAGAAATGGGGAAGTGAAGTGTTCCGGTGTAATTGACATTTTTATGTTATTTAGATCACAATCTGAAAGGGTAAATAGTGCAGCTGCTACTTTTGTATTAGACAGTGTTGTGGCCCCATCGAGGGAACATCATGTCATTACCGTTGTCATACGTTGGTGTAAAATACTTCATCTACCTTCATGTGCATTGTTTTTCATTCCCGGATTAGATACAAGCTTTGCATAACGCTATCTGTTCCTTGATATAGTCTCTACAGGGGCAGATGCGGGTCAAGGACCGGTCGGATCTCACGCAGCTGAAGAGCAGCGGGTCGGACTGGAACACGCAGTGTTTTCTGTGGCGGTTGAAGGCAGGAAACACCAACTGGCTGTCAGAGAGCTCCGAAGTTTGACAATCTACGCCGTGGCTGGAAAAAAAGAAGAAGAAAAAGAAATCAGTAGCAGCTGTCTACTAAATCGTGTCCATAGTCCATAGGTTGTAGTTCTCATGCAGTTGGAGAACTTCAACCATACGTGGAGATGCTGATTTTAAAGGACTTGACGCTCACTCAGAACCGTAGACTGTATAAAAGAAGTGGATGCAGTTGCCGTGACAACACCTTTTGGTCTACAGCTGTGAAGCAAATTTTGCTGTCGCCATCTTGGATTACAGTCTTTGCAATCTTTTAGTTTTGTTCATTCAATGAACATAAGTTTGCATATTTGGAAGGCGGAGGAGTGACGTAGAGACTCCATTTGTCCCTGGCAGCCTCATTGAGTGTGGTCTGCTTTATGAACTATTTGACTGTAAATGGGCCAATCAATCAATTGAACATCAAGTTGTAATGAAAAAGAGATGAAACTATCGTTTGAGACCGTTTACTCATGTTTACAATGTTTAGTGAGAAAATAAATCAAGAGAGAAATTAAGTAGTTTTCACAAAGACTTACATACAACCAGATGTGTTTTTGCAAGAGGTGGAGTGGCTTACTTTAACAAAAACTAGGGAGCTTTTTTTCAAACCTAGCTAAGCAGTTTGGTTGTCACGAATTCTCCATCTTATTAGCTTTTTCCTGCCTGCGTTCTTGTCAATTAACTCTACTGTTGATCCAGATCCTGTCATCAACAAGAAATCACCTCATTCTCTTCACCTGGTCCTCATGCCCTTCCCACCTGCAGCCCATTCCCTCATTAGCCCCTCACTATTTAGGTCCCCACACTTCCACTTGCCCTCTGCCAGATTGTCTTGTGTACATGCCAAGTTTTCCAGTGTTTTTCCGATTACCGATATCCCGTCCTGACCTAGCCCGCCTTCTCTTGACCACGTATTCTTCCCCTGCCCCCTTTTTGGATTTGTTTGCCTGTCGGATTGCCGTCCTGTTTCTGAACCCTGCCTGTCCCCGTTTACGGATTTCCTGCCTGCCCCTCTGGATTTGTTTGCCCATTGGAGAACTTTTGATTGGATTCTGCCTCGGAGTTGTGCTTTTGGGTTCCAATACCTGTAACCCTTACATTGGTTGCCTGAAACATTTAGCTTTTTAGCAGATAAACTATTTTTTTTCATCATTCAAATCATGGGACATTCCATCTTCTCCTACGATTTGCAGAAACATACAATGTCAAAAAGAATTCTAAAGACCGGTTTGAAAAGAAACCACAATCAAATGCTCCCTCTGTACCTATTTCCAACCATGTGTCAAACCACATATGATGTAAATAATGATTTGTGTGACTGAAGCAAAGGCATGTTTAAGCAGATAAATGGAGGACTTACATTAAAAGATCCTTGGCGTTGTTGACATGGGGAAAGAATGCGGGTTCACAGATCAGCCCGGCCTGCTGGCACGCCTGTTTACAGGAAGTGTTTGCCTCCACCTTCAATACCCTGAGCGCGCTCAGTGGGGGCCAGCTCGCTCCTTTGTTACAGAAGTCCTGAGGTAAAGACGTGAGATGAAAAAAGTCTCTCTAATTACAAAAAAAAACATTCCCCTTTTCCATCCCAACATTCCTATAACCTGTTTCTCAATCAGGATGTTGACCCGCTGGAGCATTCCTTCACAAGAGAACTCGTAGGGAAGGTGGGGCTCGATCTGAAATGTATGAGCAACGACTGCGATTTTAGAATAATTGTGTTTCGTCTGTATTTTTGCCACTAAAAGGTAGATTGTAAAGGGTACTTACAGTCTGATTGAGGATAGCAGTGAGCGCTCTCTCTACGTCCGTGGAGTTGTGAATGTCTACCATCCAAACGTAGGGCTCTCCTATGGCCTCGGCATAAGGATTCTGGGATGTCACCTGCAGCACAAACACACCAACAGTAGCATTGAATTGCCTGTTGGATGAAGACTATTGTGTTATTCCTGGTTGTCCATTGACACAGATTTCGTAAAGTGTTTAAAAGGTTCCAAACATGTCATTTGTTGTGTGAATCGTCAGATCACATTAAGTGCTTCAGTTTCAAATAAAACCCCTGACCTCTCTGATGTTGGGCTTGCCCTTGAAGAACTGTGTGTTCAGGCTACTCCGTGGGGGGTCGAGCTTGGGGTTCAGGAAAACACATCCATTGGCTATCGCCTCCAACGGGGCGGGGCCTTCATATGGGAAAGACAGGCCGACAAAAACCTACCACACAACACGAATAAAAAAAAGAAATGTAGTATGGATTTCCCAAACGCTTATAGACAATAGAGAAGTATAATGAAGTACAAGGTAACCACATACAGTACACTGCTTTACGCCCACCACAATGTCTGTTGGTTATTGATACCGGGATAATAAATAAAGAATTAAGCTCTTATAAAATACACAAAGATTCTCATTGAAATGTTGTGTGGACCCATAAAAAAAAAACAAGAAAATCCTTTTCATTATGTTGTTTGTATTGCTGTCTAATTCAAATGGTATATAACATTTACATCATCCAATAGGTCACTTTGTAAAATGGAATGAGGGTTAGATTTAGGAAGCGGTGAGAGGTTGAGGGAGTAGGGGATGGGTGGAAGGATGAATGGAACTGGGGTAAGAGATGAGGGTCGTGGGATAAAAGGTATGGTACGGAGGGTGGAAGGGAGGGGAATCTTTGGCCTTTGTAATCGGGGATGACTGAGGTGAACCAGATTGGTTGGTTTTTGCTGCATTTGAGGTGACAGATGCATTGATAATGTTGGACATGATAGCATGTTCTGACGGATTAGGTGAGAGTTTGAGGCAGTGAAGATTTGTGATGTTTATTTCACTTGATTTAAGGAGGGAATGTGTGAATGTAATAAAACCTTTGAAGCTATTACATCAAGCGAGGTATAATGTTGAGATGTGGAAGGCTCAGCTAATGTGGTGGTGCCTGGGTGAAAGGTACGATGCAGATTGCATCGGTGGCCTTACATTGAAAAGGGGTCATTGTTTGGTGCATTTTGGCTTCAGGAGGAAAATAGAGATGTAATTAAATCCAGTTTCTATTGTGATGCACTGCATAGAGAAATCTGTGCTGGAGATTAGGCTATTGATGATTGGAACAGTAGAGCCGTGGGGGGAAATTCGCCGGATGTTGGAAGGCAAGGGGCTGGCGACCTTTAAGTTTCTGAGGATGGATGTTGTGAATCAAGAGGAAAGTCGATTACAGCCTAATTTGCTGCCAGTGAAGGACGGCGGGACCAGGTCAGCTCGTCTTCTTCAAAGGGGTAATTGTCAGAAGGTGTGAAAAGAGCTCCAGGTCCATAGTGTTCATTGTGCTTCACTAGTTGTTGGGGAGGAAATGAGCTGTGTTCAAGGTGTGGTCCTTGTTCTCAAACTAAGTTTACAAAACAGTACCTTTTGGCGCTCCCTCGTCAAGGAACTCTATTTGCATTTATAGATTATTTATTTGGATCTCTTTGCATTTACTCCCAGTGCATAATCAGGTTCCACACAACTTCACGGTGCTTCAACAAAGTCCATTATCACAATATAGACCAATACTTTTAAAAACCTGATAATAGGATGTTTAGATTTGATAATCCATCAAATATAAACATTATGTTGTCTGCTTTAACATTTTTTTATATAGCAATTGGTAAAACAAACAGGGTTGAATCAAAAGGAGACACATTCACCTTGCTCTGTCTCAACAGGACCTGAACCTCAGAGCCTTTGATGATGCCGTGGTTTATGACGTAGCTCGGGATTGAAGCGCTGTGATCTACTGTCCCATGGACCTCCATGTGCTTGTGGATAACGTCCAGATATGCTTCTTTACCCTGCAGTTTGACAGCAGAGCAAAGCAAAGGACGACATGCTGGATAGTCAATGGATGTCAATGGGAAAATATCACTTCTGTGCCTGGACAAATGTGTATAAGGGCGTCTGAATGAAAAACGGGGGCCAAGTAAATACCTCCACATACTAAATCCACAAACTAACAGCCAAAAGGTCAAATAATGTTTGTAGCGATTGGGCAGTTTGGTAATCAGAAAGTATGAAATATTAACATTAATACAGTTATTATAGGCATGAAATAGTAATTTAAAAAGAAAAATACTAAAACAGTGACAGCCGGCTTTAATACTTTAAACTTTCTTTTTTGAACATGATCTGAAAATTTCCAAAATACCTCCAATGAATACTGTAAACACTGATGTGTGGAGGAATACACATCTTATAATATATATGAGAGAAACAACATTATGAAATACATTGGTACCTCCCAGAAAGTGTGTCTCTTGCCATACACAAGGGCCTGGTTTTGCCTTTTGGTAGAGTTCAACCGCTCAGTTTCTTTGGCACTCAGCTGGTGCTGCACCACGAAGCCCAGGAACGTGTTGTCTGGTGTATGAGCTGCTCACAGCGAGACAATATGCAGTGCAAAAACAGATTGGAGTTGCTGTTGGATGTGGTTTACCTCAGATCAAGCTACATTATGTAAATCACATTGACGGGTGTTGGAAATAATGGGAGAAACAGAAACATACGGAACATGGTGTAGAACTGCATTGGGATCAGGTTGAGTCCACCAAATGGACCATTGAGGTTGTGCTTTTGGGCCCAGGTGACATGATTGAAGTCTGGCTCAGTTCCGAAAGTGTCCAAGATGCGCAACTTACATCTGATCAACAGACACAACACAGGTACACAGTTACAGCAACACATTAATATGCACATTTCTGACAGCAAAATGCACAAAATGTAAACACTGGAAAACCAATAAACCTCCCACACTCCTGGAAAACACCTGAGCACCCCGTGTAGAGTGCCAACATGCATATTCTTTGTGTGCCCAATGTCTCACTCACACATATAACTCAAACATGTAACGTAATAGTTTAAATGCAATCATTTGAGGACCAGGATGCTGGACTCACCTGTAGTTAACCCTAGATGCCTTTAGTACTTCTTGAATCTGTTTGAGACCGACAATGTCTGTATAGATCAGGCTTGCTTCTATTTCTGAATGGCGAGTTGGGCAGCTACCTTCAAACGCTAGGAACCTATAGAGATAAACACAGGAATGGGCCTACATGGACTGTTACAATGAGAATCACAGGGAATATTGCAAAGAGTGAATGTAATTTATGATGACGCAATGACACCAGTCAGCCTGACAGAAAGCAGCTGGTGACATTGTGCCCTTTGTGTGTGCATACTTACTGCCTGAGGTCGAGTTTGGAAACACTGAAGTGGAGATGGTGACCCAGGATGTATAGTGTGGAGATGAGGTCACTCCACTGCACTAGTTCTCCAAGGGGGCCCCCACTAAATGCTGCCTCGGCTATTCTAAAACCTGATTCAGAAGTTAGTGCTCCAGGATGCACCAGAATCTGGGAAATGGTAAAAACCATGGACAAAATGCAACAAAAACCACATCCTCTTCTTTGTCTTATCATCATTCCACCAGAATTTGACGAATATCATCATTCTACTAATCAAATGATGTTATTTAATCAAGCGAACTCAGAGCAAAGAAAGGGCTAATTGATTTTCTTTGCCCACCTGCGTGGCTTGGATTCAAAGTCAAATCTTTTTAAGATTTTAAAGAAATATTGTGTCATGTCAGAAGGCTTTTGGAAATCTCAGTAGGCCTATAGCGATTTAGTATGATGGCTCGTCGATGGCTAGTTGATTCAAGATTCAGTGATACTAGAATGAGGACATGAAGTAAGTAGTAATTGTAACTAAAAACACGTCCAACCCATATGCATCGTTATCAAACACACAAATTGAAAGGTATAATTCAATCTAACAATGATACAGTCGTGACTAATGAACTCATTGTCTCTATGTAAGTCATTTAAAACATTAGAGTGGTTTTTGTTTTGATAATCAATGACAATGCCTTCCACGATCTATATTATCCCCTATTGTGCCCTTTGAGAACAGAGGGGCATCGAAAGCAATGTCTAACGGCGGCTGGTCACTAAACTGTCAACTATTATTCAAATAAAAGTAACAAGATGGTTTAGATTACATGGTATAGATTACCTGTTTAGCTTTCCTCCCTGTGACGTTGTATTTGGCTGAAAGGGAGCGTCCAGCCTCAACCCAAATCTCTTCCATACTGACAATTCTTTGGTGGATCCAACGGAACTCAACTCTCTTTTGCAGAGATGAATACAGATCTGAAAGATTTCCTCTTACGACTGCAGGTCCAGTGTCCTCCTAGAGAAATAGAGTTAGCATTCAGTTTGAAAACGTCCCTTTTTTTTGACCATGAGCACCACTCACAGCATTTAATTGACATTATAACCATTCGTTTACTACTCAGAGAGGCTTAGCCCTCCACTAGAATGGGTAATAGTTTCCTCAGATCACACATTTGCATACTGAAAACACTTTGGCCCGTAGTAGCAACCACCAAATCAACACCGATGCAGGAAGTAGCAACAGCCAGCTCGACAGAAGCATTCCAGCATCAAACTCAACACAGCCGTCTGAGCTGTGCACTGTCAGGACCAGTAGGGGTCCGTCTGTGCTTATTTTACACAGCAGATACCATTGCATTTACTGTACCTCGAGGTTTTCCTCATCAGCTGGAATCACGCGGCCTGGAAGCAGCGGACACCACGACTCTATCTGTTTGCACCACAGACGGAAAGAGAGGAATTGAGCACGTATGTGGCGAGGTCTTTGTCGGCCGGGGTCACCGTGTGATGTGAGGGCTTGAAACTACTCACCTCGCTCAGGTAGACGAGGAAGGAGCAGAGAGAGCCGTTAACCCCGTAACGGCTGTAGCAAGGATCAGACCTCCAGCTGACTTTCATCCACTAGGAAGCAAATGATCACGATCAAGAAAGTTAAATAACATTAATACAATTCATTTAATCTAAGAGAAGGATTCTTGCTTCAACCTCAACAGTTTTACCTCTTTGCAGTACATGAAAATACTTTGAAAATCCTTTTTTTAAATGATTGATTCATTAAATTACCTCCAATTTTGCTTTACAGTCTGGGAATCCATCCAAAGGTGGCAGTGAGCAACGTTCCTTTGCTTTGTTTTGATCATGTACAAAACACACAAACGACATCGTGCTTGCTTTTTAATACACGCTTTACCAATCCACACTTAACAAGTGCTTTGCCAGTTTTAACTTCCTCTTCCTTCTCGCCCCTTAATTGAAAATACATGTTTAGTACAAAGAGTCTTTTTACCAATCTCGACTTCATCCTCTTCCTTCACAGCCTCCAGCTCGATGAGTTTCTCCATGTGAGCAATGTGTTGATGCAGTTGGAGTTTATCAGAACGCAGGTCCTCGATAATCTCATCCTTCAGTCTTTCTTTCTCTTTTTCTGCCTCTGCCATTTTGATCTGGAGGGTCAGGAATTCTTCTCTGTAGTCTTTTGAGGGAGGCGGGAGGGAGACGACGAGAGGGAGTTACAGTGTTTGACCATGTATTTAAAGAGAGACAATCCGCACACTTTACAATTAGGACCAAACAACATAGAGATAATAAATGATATCATGAAATCTTATTCTAATGAGGTACATTGGTTCTTCACTGAAAATACATGGAATTACCAAAATCCATAGTGATACTTCATTTTATGTGATAATGTGTTTGTAGAATATTACTCGGCTTGGAGCTCTGATGTCATTCAAACATGACACAAACATACAATAGTGAGCCACGGCACGTTCATCGACATCTCAGTCATTAAGATCACAAGGCACAGCACTTTTGCTTTTGACATATTTGTTAAGTTGTACGTCTTCAGTAGGGATGGAAGCACCAGAAACATTCTTTTGAATGTTTTCTACTGGTTGATAATGAAAAAAAACAATAACAATTAAAGCTATCATAACTTATCATTTAACGCCAATAAGGTTCATCTAGCCAAGATTTTAGTCCTGTATATTGTCTACATTTACACATCGGATTTCATCACTTTTTCTACGGTATTATGATGTCCACATGGTGTGGTTTCTCATTGTTAGGACCGTCCACAGGGGGAATGCAGTTGGCGTTCTAAAGAGAAAAACAGTCTTTTTACCGGTCTTGACTTTCTTCTCTTCCTGTAGCTTCACGAGTTTCTCCATGTGAGCCACTTGTTGATGCAGTTGGAGTTCATCAGAACGCAGGTGACCAATCATCTCATCCTTCAGCCGTCCTTTCTCTTTCTCTGCCTCTATCTGAATCTGCAGAGACTGTATTTGTTGCTGGTGGTCTCGCAAAGAAGGCGGGAGGGTAACTAGCAGAGGGAGAGTTTGTCGTGTTGAGGAATTAGCACTCTGCTTAAATACATCATTTCATGGACTCTACCTTTAGGGCTTTGTTCCTCCGCTTGGCCGAGCCACCTCGGTCTGTGGGGGCCGGTCACCCCGACGTCCTCCTGGTGAGCGTCGCTCTAGAAACAGTTCAGAAAGGAAAGACACACGTGTTTGTAAAGAAACAAAAAAAAGGCCAATTTTCTGCCCATTTTGAATACAAGAATATGTTTGTGTGAGGCAAACTGTTATGTTGTTAAGTGGATCAGTGAAGATACAGACCAGGATGAAATATGATAAAGATAGAACCCAGATGACACCGATGCCTAGGAGCGTCCACAGGCTCCTCCACAGGGTATTTGTCACTTTTCTCATAGTGCAAATGGACTCAGCCTAAGACGATGGACTGCTCAGGCCTTGATAAAAAAAAGCGGCATTTCTTTAACTTAAACTGTACAATTCTGCTTGTTAGGCGTTGATAAGTGAGTGAAAGACATTCTTGTACGAACCTCTGTGCCACAAATTCTCTGTTGCACACATTTATCATTAAATTATTTCATCATAGAGCTCCAATATCCACAGTTAGAAGGAATAACTTACACACTTACCTTCAGACCGTATAGTCATCCACTTTTAACCAAATGAGCACAGCGGACTGCGGATTTTGCTCCAGCAGCGTCTCTTGCGATGCAAATCGAGGATGCAAAAAGAGGACGGCACATCAACTGAACATAATGTCTGTGAATACAGAGTGTACAAAAACCCACTCACTGTTTTAAACACAGCGTTGAACTTGTCCTGACATATGGCATTACATTACCACAGAGCCCTCTTTTATCTGACCATTGTTTGAATTCCTACTACCGGTGGCTATTATGCAAAAGCTTCTGAACTAATCTGATAGCGCTGCAGCTACATTTAAAGAAGTGTATCGTGGCTCAACTATGGACTCTCTGAGGATCACATTAAACTCAATTTACTCTAATTGCAACTAAAATTGCTAAAGATTTGGAAGAATCTCGATCAGTTTGGGGAGAACTTCTTGAAAGTCATAAGTAGGAGGAGGTGGTAGAGATCAATACGCTGGGTTTTGTTGCTGATTGAAGGTGTCAGTGGTGGTGGAGGGTTGCATCCAGTGCACGCTGAAACAGAAACTCACAGAGAGAACAGTTTTTAACATTTGACAGCACCGATGCGTTTGGTTCACCGAAATGGTGCCTGTGTCTGGTAACTAACGGGTTTTCCCCCAATCAGCTGACATCGCAAACCACCGGGAGAGAGAGAGCAACCTGGGACATGCAAAGGCTTGTTCAGCTTGTCTTCCTGACGGAATTTACGCCTATGCTTCATTCGTGGACTGACATGTTGGCCTCAGTTAATCAGTCTCTTCATTAGTTAACCGGCAGCTGTTTGTCTGTTTCGGCTGGTTCTATTTTGTTATATAGCATCAGTTTTAGCCACATTTTGTTTATTGGGTAAAACCTGTTTTGTCCTCTTTAGGCTTCGTAGAGCACCAATGTTGGGAGGCTAACCACCGGCGGTCAGGTACTAGTGTTGCATGCATGTATAAAAACAAAGGGAAGCGCGGGGACTGCACCATTTATTGTGAGGACCGATGTGTTGCAGCTGAGATTATGTACCGGTAACTCCCATTTGTAGTCTGTGGCCTCTACTAAGTCCCTGTTATGTTGTTTACTTTGTGTTGAACAGGACATTTCAGAGTATCTTCTGTGCTCAACCAGTGCTGATATCCTCACATATAGTGACTTTAGAAACGCTGATGTATATTTAGACAGTTTTTCTCCCATCAACCATGACCAATTCACGTCATGTCTTCACCTAAACCTTCTATTCGTTTAATGTACTTCAAGTAGGTGTAATTGAATATTTTCTTAACAAACCCACTCTTGATCCAGATGTGTTGGATAACTATAGACCTGTCTCTGACCTTCCCTTAAGATCCTTGAGAAAGGAGTAGCAAACTAGTTGTGTGACTTTCTACAAAAGAGTTTGCATGAGGATTACATTTGAGTAATTAGAGTGCATCATTGGCACATTAACAATGCCCTTTTAGTTGCATCAAAGATTTGTCTGTTGTCATGTTGGACTTCAGTGCTGCACCTCAAACTGAACTCAAAGACAAAACAGAAGTATGTGATTTGGATGAGAGCAACTCCTATCTAATGATATAGTTTCTCTAGATAGCATTTCCCTGGCATCCATCTTCAATGAAAATATTAATGGATTTATCTTTGATCGGGATTATTATTATTATTATTATCTCCCAGAACAAATTGAGAGAACTGCCTTTTTTCACAGAAAAATGTGCACTTCACGCACACAGAATAGTTCACAGGAATTCCTCATCAGGTTCCTCTAATAAGTCTGTTTAATATCTCCAGGCGTTTACTGTACCATAGTACACCTGTAGAAAGCTGCATTTCCTAGAGGACGGGTTACTCGTGGTTCCAAGAGTCTCAAAAAGTAGGATGATAGCCAGAACCTTAAGTTATCTGGACCCTGGACATCCTGCTACTGTCATTGTTATTGGTGGTCACATTACTATTTCTATTTCTCGCTGAGGTTTCTTCTTTTTTTTCCTCCCTGTTTTTGGGGGAGTTTTTCCTGTGCCAATTGCAGGGATCTATGACAGAGGATGTCCCATGTGTAAATATAAATGTTGACCGATGGAGCATTTGAAACCATGGCGTAGTTATTGTCGATCCAACAGAGGTTGACTGATGCTTTTTTTACTGTTGGCAGTGATGGCTATCTCACCGTATAGTTCACTAGGATCCTGTGCTGGACTGAAACCAGCAAGTAGAGTCCGGCCGAGTCGTGGTTAACCTGGTTGGCTTGAGTTCTCTGACAGCAAAAGTGGGGGACCTTCCCCGCCGGATACAGCCTTTCTCCTTCCCGGAGGCATCACCTTTGCATGCAACATGTCAATTGTTTAACAGAATAAATATGCACACTATCTTGGCGTATGCCCTATAAACCAAAGCTACCTCACCATCTGCCTGAAGCTGCCCTTCTCCTGTTTCAGCCTTTGTTTTTGAGAGGGATGGCTGTTAGGTAAACAATGCTCTACTGAATGGGGGGAGAAAGGCTCATGTCAGACCTATTTAAAAGCAGGCATGGATGTATGTGCGTGTGTATGTATGTGTGTGTGTGTGTGTGGGTGTGTGTGTGTGTGCGTGTGTGTCTGCGTGTGAATGAGAGTATTAGATAAAAGGGGGAAACCGCGTTACTCTCTCCACTGTGCGAGCACCGAGGAGTTGAAATTTCATAAGTGAAACCATGACTTTTGGTTTTTGAAGTGAAAACCGAGAGGATGTACTGGACATGTGTCTACCTGCTGGTCCTAATGACATTCAGCTCCCTGTCTTGCGTCCAGGTTCGAACAAAGGTTCCCCTTCCCTGCCTAGACTACCAAAGGGCCTTTGGACGCTCCTGCTATGAGTTTGTGGATCTCCAGCTCAGTCTCTTCAGCGCACAGGCTTGGTGCGAGCAGCGCGGTGGACACCTCGCATTTATCCCAGATGAAGAAACTCAACATTTCCTCCAGAGGCTCTTGGACCCCAAGAAGGAGGTGTGGCTCGGACTGGCACCTTCTGCATCTCCAAACCTAACAAATCCTGCAACCCATGAAGGTAAGATCGCCATGTGGAAATTTGGAACATTTATATACTAAATTACAAACTGTGAAAATCTGCAGATGCCTATCGTCATCTACCTTAGATGAGGGCTAAGAAGTTTAATATGCTCGTAAGAAAACAGTCATGATCAAGTCCATTTCAGAGTTGATCACCATTAGATTTTACGTTATTATTTTGGGATTATCTTTGGCAAAACTTCAATTTAGTACAATTGTGTAAAGCTTTCTCCCTGGTTTCACTGTGTCTGATTAACAAACGTATTCTCTATTATGATGACGTTCTCTGTTCAGGTAATTACGTCATTTGAACAGAATGGAGTTCAAACCTAATTTCTTGTGGAAAAAGACACAAGTTGTCCTTATTACTTTCTCCAGACAAAGTACTGGATGTGTGGCAACTCATCCTTTAACATACAGTACGTTGGTTAACTAACACGGATGTTAGGCCATAGGTATAGTATTTGTTTGCAATTATACCATGCATAAATATAATATATATGTATACAAGCCTGTTTGTGTGAGAGAACCCCACCAAAAAGGGTTGTTCTGAAAACTGTAGTAAAACCACTGAATTCTACTCTAAAACAGAAACACCATTAATAACAATAATGATAATGCAAAGATCTTCTTGGTTACCACAGGTTAAGTTATTATACATACTGTTTATATTTAGCGGTGGCTTGTTGCATCCTCAGGGGCCCTCTCTTGGCTGGACGGTTCACATATCACATATTCAAACTGGGTGAGCAGCCCGCAGCCAGGAGCAGCTTGTGGACACACGCTGAGAGACTCAGACTTCCAATGGGAAGCCACAAGAGACTGTAAAAAAAACCTTCACTTTATCTGCCAGTTTGGTATGTATTTTGACTATTACTTTGAAAAGATGACACGCTATTGAGTAAGTCAATGATGATGTATCACCTTGCATTGCTTTTCTACCTTTTCAAGATTCTGGGAGATCCATTGTGTGCGCAGGTGAAAACACCACTGTGCAGTGCGGTTCTGGTCAAGTCTTGATGATAGATGGCGGCTTCTACGGACGTAAGAACATGTATTACTGTCGATCTACTCAAACAACATCCACAGGACACCAGTGCGGCTGGAAGGATGTCGTAGAATTATTAAAAGGTAAACCATTCGTCCAATTTTTAAGTATTTCCCTACATGTGGTAGTTTTTAGGACGATTAATGTTATACAATTTTGTGCCGTTCAGTTATCTATGCAGGACGTGTTAAAGGATCTGAGATACAGAATGACCACTCTTGGCTTCACAATAGTTATAGTCACTTGATCTCCTGAGCTCAATGGGAAAACAAAAGCTTAAGTGGAATACAAGCGCTCTGCCTCATGAAAAGGTTCTTCCTGAATGCGACTGTGGTGAAATTCAATCCAAAATACGAGGGCAGTGATTGCCAGATGTCACAAAGTAAACATTGCGGCTACAAACCTTTGTTTGCCAAGAATGATTGCCCATTAGGACGTATGGAAAAAAATTATAATAGCTGAACAGCTACAATGATGCATCCATGATATCCATCCAGTAAATATTGACCAATGCATTGAACTGATGTCAAAGGCAGACTCCATTTCCACAGGAGCCTTTCTGAGCAGGATTGCGTGAGCGTATGCTGTACGTCAGAACTCGTCAGAACTGGCACGTTGCACATTTTAATACTATTGTTACAAGTACAAAACATTCTGCACTTATAACAATTGTAATCAAGTATTCAATGCACTGGCTATTGTCAGTTTTGCTGGTTCTGTTGTTGGTAACAGCAGCAATGCTGTTCATAGCGTTGTCTGGCGCTAACACAACTTAGTTCAGTTTTAATTCTGCTCTGAGTATCCTCCCACACTCCAGTGCAGTTGCTTTGCCAAGAACAAGAAGACGAGGGTAACAAAAAAGACACACTGTTACTCCAAACTCAAATAAAGTTTTCTTTGCGCCCTTGAGTTGCCCGATGGACATACTTGGAAAGAGAGGGCTGAGCTCAAAGGATTTCAGTCTCAACCTGCCTTGTCCCCCTGAATAACAGTTAATCCTTTTAATGCTGGCCAGTGCATGCAAACACAAATATTTATTGTTAAGGACCATCATATTGTTGCCATGTACAGAGATTGTTGAGGAGCAGGTTTGGTTGTTTGGTCTCTCTGCACCACTAGAACTTTTTTATATTAAGTAATCATTTTTAAGACTTTCCATAATGCTATCGTGGTTGCCACATGTTAACAGTGCCTGACAACGCCCCTCTCTGTCCCACAAAGCTCACTGCCACGGCCGTCAGGCATGCAATATTTCAGAACTCGTGGGCTCCTTTGGTGAATCGTGTCCTCAGGTTGGGAGCTATCTGTCTGTAGAACATCACTGCAAAGATGGTAAGTAACTCATGTTAGGGAGTTATAAAATGATCCAGAGGTTGTTCTAATCGTTTCCCATCCCACCCTTAATTTAATGTAGTCCAGGGGTCCATTTCAAGTTGGAGGTTTAGCAAACTCTGAGTCAAACTCTAAACTTTTAAGGGTTTATTTACCCTGAGATGGGAAACTCTGAGTTTTGGGTTTCAGAACAGCTGTGCAGAGACAAACCCAGTTTCCACTAAACCCGCTTTTGGAAACAAGATCCAAAATGCATATATTCAGCCATACTGAATATATGCATTTTGGATCTTGTTTCCATGTTTGACTGGAATCTTTCTCAGCACATTGAGTCATGGGGGCAGCTACCTTGTGCTCCCGCATCTTCACTGCCACAGACCCAGAGGAAGAATCACAGGTGTAAATAATTGATTGAATGCTGGCTGAATTCCATTTAGAGGCCTCCGTTTCAGGCTTTTGCTGTTATTTGACCCGGCAGACACCTTGAATGCATTTACAAAAAAAAAACGTTTTAAAGGTGATGTCTAAGCACATATACGGTGCACAGACACCCCCTTAGTGGTGGGATGGAGACACCTGCTGGTCATCTTTGACACTATAATATTACATTACAGCAGAAAACTAGTCGGACAAACAAAAACAATGGTTATACAACAACTTAAAAACGCATCATGCACATGGTGGCTGCCTGGGACGCTGTCCTCCCATACTGGGAAACTTTGCAGAGCCATTATGAATGTAACGAGCAACTACTGTGGCTTTTCTATAAGTCAATTCTACTGAAATGTATTGACTACACAAACTCTCCTACCAGGGCTCACGCTGTCAGTCAGCGCTGCAGCGGCAGTTTTTGAAGAAGTCACCATCAGCTGGAAGTGGCTCTTGGATTTGCCACAGGGAAACCCCAGCTGCAAGCTGAGCACCGGAGACGGCCGTGTTATTGATCATCACAGTCAAGAGGGGTGAGTAGCAACATTTACTGAATGAATGACACTACGTGGGTTTAGAAGAGGACTGAAAATGGCTATTGTGTAAAATGTGTGCTGTGGCTCTAGGAGAGGAACTCTCTTGTGTTTGACAATACACATTTACAGGGTTAATTATGTTAATACTGTAACAGTCCATCACATCATTACTTCCAATCCTTTCCTATTAATTGGTCTGAATTTAGGCATCGACAGTCCTTTTCGGGGATCTTATGAACATAAGGTTAAACTGTTCAATCGCTTGCAGATTAATTGCAGTCCAGGAATGCAAAGCCAACTGTAAAGTAATAATGCCCCATACATTATATTATTTCCAGCAGACAGCTTCAGATAAAGATAAAGATAATCTTAAAGTAAACATTTACTACATTTATATTTAATTAATGCAATTCCACAGATAAATTCAACATCAGCAGGCAAGAAACAGCAAAATATTATTTCCTAAATGTAGACTGTGAAATTAGACAAAAATCCTTAATTGTTATCCACCGGAACATACCTTGTAGACCTTTTTTTTCACTATGTATGCTTTTTCTCAGGCTGGAGAGGAGCGAGGCGCACAAATATACTCATCCAAGCACATTTGTTGTGGCGGTTGAATGCACCAGCAATGACGTACACATCAGAGCTCAGAAGACAATAGCCATTCAAGAACCCATCAAAGGGTTTGGCGTCATCAGGTGCTATACTGGGAAACTGTCTTTTAATGCAAAAAACTGTAAAGCCCTTCACAGAGAGCCTGTTCAAATTCAAATGGAGGTAAAAGCAGGTAAGCTCCACCTGACCATGATGTGCAATAAGTAATCCTGACATCCTCCTACCGGTAGTGCTATTTATCACAGGCAATAGGACATATATGTTTTTTCTTTTGGGAGTGAACTTTCAATGTATTTAGTCCTTGCCCTTTTCATTCTGCAGGTACACATGTGACTTATAGAATCCAGAGTGACGAAAGTGTGTTGCATGGTTTATCCGTATTTAAAGGAAACGTTCCCCAGAACCTCACAGTGACTTCAGAAATGATGAAGCAGTTTGGCCCCGGCTGCCACCGGCTCACCGTGTACGCGTCTAACATGGTCACATACCCTGAAGTGTCCACAGACCTGCAGGTGAATTATTATCATTCAAGTGAACATATAATTTTCTATCAATAAAGCAGTAAATAACCGGATGCAACGACCCTTCTGATTTTTTACCTGACTGTGATAATGGCATGGGAAATTAATATTATAGCGTCATCAATCCAACCCCAGAACATGGTGCATCCAAGTCACCACCTCTGACATCAACGCTGAGTCAAAGGTTATGACGGGCAAACCCGTCCCATCTTCATTTAATTCTTTCAGAGTCTCTATGGACGACCGCAGTTCTAGAAGAAGAAAAATGTTCTTCACATAAATACAAAAAAACAAAAACAATGTGAAGTTTTCTTGTTTCACACCAGAACTCATTGTGTACATCCTTGAGGGCTTAAACTTGCTGAAATCAGAATCAGAAGAATTACCAGCAGAATAAAAAATAACATATTTCAATCACTTACTTGAGCGGTTGTTTGTTTTGTCAATAATACAAAACATATAGCTTATTTAAAGTTTACCATTTAGCAATAAAACATGTCATGCATATGGTTTTGGATGCCAGGTTGTGAGTCTTCACTTCACTTGAATTCAAGACGATATTCCTCCAGACCGATAATTATCTAACACAATGAGAAACAACTACAAACTGAGCAGCCTGTCAGCAGAGCAGGCTGCTTCTATAAGCTGTAGGTCATCCATGTTTCGGCAGCAGTGCTCAAAGTGCTGTGAATGCGAAGTTGATCGGTTTCTCCGTTTCGCGATTGTTTCCTGTCCTGCAGATGTGTGTGTTGGAGAAAGTAGGCGGGCTTCGGGCCTCTGTGCTGACGCAGGGGAATGCTTACGGATACTCTCCAGGTACTACTGTTGGTGTTTCCCTGGAACGAGGAGCGCCGGTGCAGCTCCTCTTCTCTCTGAATGGAGAATCATACTCTGAGGTCCGAGAAATGAATACTAGCGAGGACATATTCCATTTTGCACATCCGTTTCGAGGTACGGTATGAAAGACACGAAACATCGGATTCGTGAAACACAATCTGAAAATACACCATTGCGTTACAGTATTCGATTTGAGCTGATTATTCTTGATGCTTTTCCACAGGACTTTTCCATGTGAAACTCAGAGCATGGAATATCTTTTCATCGTTGGAAGTGGATGTGTTTACTTTCTCTGGCAAAAATTCAGCTGCTAAACCAAATGGGCATGGCTACATGAGACCGGTCTCTTTATTTTTATATTCAGCATACACAAGTATTTTATATATCGGGGGAAAATAATACTTCTCCTCCTCCAACTCTCAGAATTGTGGTCATAATTGTCGATTTTGTGCACTGCAGTATTTATAAATCCTTTTGGCTATTTTCTTTTTCAGAGAAAGAAACACAGAGCTGTCAGATCTCCAATGGAACTGAAGTTTTTACAATTAGGAGGTGGCAACTCCATATATATTCTGCTTTTAAGTACCAATATAATTTCCTCAGAAGAATACGAGTGGAAATGCAGTAAGAATTTTCCTTTTATACTCTTTTTCAAATCAAAGATTAAGCTTTCTATTTATTTATTTATGATATGGTTTAATAGGGTGACATATGTACTGTGTTGTTTTATGTCTTGTTTGGCTGTGCAGCATGCCCAAATATTACATGAAAATGAGTTTGCTAAACCACACAACCCGTGTTACGTACGCCTTTAAAGCTTCTCATTACATCATCATGATGCCACGTGTTGAACACTGGGTCCTTAATTACAGACAAAGGTCAACAAGAGGAACTTCCCTTTTTTGGAAAGCCAAGTGTCGCTAATTGAGTTACCGCAACCTCACTGTATGAGGTCCATCTTTTGAAAAAATGCTCTTAAAGGCCAAAAGCAGGCTTATGTGCTAAAACTAATATAGATACGTCTACTGTAATATCCAAAAGGTGTTGACTGTAAGTTGACACATTCACACGTGTATGTGCTGGTCCATGCTCAGGAGACATTTATTTTAGGGCTTAGCACGGCTACTGATCGCACATTTGAACACCATGGATAACAATTTAAGAAGCAAAAAATTATGTTTCAGCTCTTAAAATCAAGCATGACATAGATTATTTAAAGACTAAAACACGGTATTTGTCAATGTGTATGCACAGTCTGCTAGAAAAATGGTCAAATGTGACTAATTCTATAAGACCTATTGAGTGCGTCCTGACCAGATGATCCAGCTTTCAATGGCCCTATGCAGAAGATACAAAATAATTACACGACAATATGTATTGGCATGTTTAGATTAGAGGTACAGTATGTCATACATTTTATACCACCTACTCGTCAAAGATGGTCACTAAAGACGTGAAATAATTTACTTTAAGTTTTACCTGGGAGGCAAACACCAGTCTCCTGGATTAAAGTCATGTGTTTATTTAACCCATACACTTTTCACTCCCACCTGCCTGCTGTTGACTGCAGTAAAATAAAAACTTTCCTTGTTGATTTACAGAGAATCCGTGTGGATGCATAGGAATATGGAAGGAGACAACTCACATCATTACTCAAAATTGCCTACCAGATCCATTTAATTTTAATAGATATTATTTTGTTCAGAAAGACTCGCAAAGTAAGGAAAATACGTCTATATGCGTCACTGTCACCCCCGAGTTGTGGCCATCTTGGCTAAGGTAATTTTAACTGATCTGCTGCAATCACAAAGTGCAATATACAGTACCTGCTATTTTCTTTACAAAAAGAAAATCTATGTTGTGAACATACTCTTTTGTAAGTTATCATTTCAAGCAGTGTACTGAACTTAAAAGAGTTATTGAACAAATTTGGTGGTAGTTTTGATGACACATTCTTTACATGTATTGCTCTAACCAAATAGTAGATGTAAACACTCTGTTTTGTGTAAATCAACTTATCTATATATTTGTTTGTGTCACAGTCTCACCTGCACTAATGGTTGTAATCCAATAACGAAGAACACTGATGCAAAAATTGAAATGAAATGTGATGGACGAATATTGTGTCCATCAATTGTATGGTACTTAGAGGACCAACAAGATGAGAAGGACTGGGAAGTAGGTCGGATGAATGATTTCTGAATAATTTTAGAATGAACGATTGGACAATTGTATGTGTTTTACGAAAGAAAATATGAATTGACTTCATGACTTTACATGTTCATTTAGAATGAAACTAAAGAATGCTACAAAAAGGCAGAGACAAGGCCACTCCTAAGGGAACAGGTTGGTGGAGACAAATTCACCGTGCCTTATGAAACACTTAAAGCTGCCGAATCGGAAAAACGTGACGTCATTGTGATGATAATGTCTGGTAAGTCAATTAAATAATTCTTACGCTGCTCTGTATAACATCTTGGAACCATTGTTGTGTTCATGTAAAAGATGTACATTTTGAGCTACCAGACACGGGTAGAACATGCAGACTCCACACAGAAAAGCCACTGGGCAGAGTCGAACCCACAGCCTTCTTGCTGTGAGGCGACAGTGCTAACCACCACACCACCATGCCGCCCCATAGTAGAACCACCAGCAAAAAAAAAGAGAATGAAGGAAATTGTTTGATCAACTTGTGATCCTGTATTGCAAAATAACTTGTATGCATAGATTTTACTACTTGGAAACAATTACACAAATACACTACAAGTACACTACATAATTTTCCCTTTTCACATCTTTTTACTTTATTTCAAAGATGGCGAACTTCTTTACAAGAAATACATCATAAAAACATCATCTAGAAATGGAGGAAACAGTGACTCTAGTGACCCTAGAGTCACGTCTCCAACCGCTACAACTGCTGGTCCTGGATCTACAACAACTGGCACCAGGGCCACCACTACCAAGTCTACAACCGCTACCACTGCTGGTCCTGCATCTACAACAACTGACACCAGGGCCACCACTACCAAGCCTACAACCGCTACCACTGCTGGTCCTACATCTACAACAACTGGCACTAGTGCCACCAGTACCAAGTCCATAAACGCTACCACTGCTGGTCCTGCAACTACAGCAACTGGCACCAGTGCCACCACTACCAAGTCTACAACCGCTACCACTGCTGGTCCTGCATCTACAACAACTGGCACCAGTGCCACCACTGCCAAGTCTACAACCGCTACCACTGCTGGATCCTACTCAACATCCCCTGGCAGTAGTGACACCCCTCCCAACCCTAATCCTACTAACTCCAATTGTTTATCTCCAACCAACAACAACTTTGAGGGCCTTAACTGTAGCATATCCCCACAGAGTGGAACAATCCTTGATGTTTTCACTATAATGTGCAATACTCCTTGCTCCAACTGCCGGTACTGTTTCAAGACTGATATGGGTAAGTTATCTGTGAAAATATAACTTAAGTCCATGACTTTCAATAATCACACAATAACTTTCACTCCGAGAGATCTGAATCTAACTTATTCATTTGTTTTAAAATAAGCAGGTCACCTTCTGCGTTGCAGCAATAACAATGAAATTAAGTCTGTCTTCCTCCCTCTGGGAGACAGCAGCTTTGACTACATCCTCACTGTCACAGCAACTGCAAAAAATGGGAACTATGTGTGGAGCACGACTATAACTGCAAAGGTTTGTCAAGTATATGATCATTTCAAAAAGTGTGGCACTAACAGAACAAGATTAAAGGAAATGTTCAATGCTTTTGTAAGAAAATATCTTTTCCTCCTCAGGTGATGGATCCGTGCTCTCCCGTAGACGATATCAAGGCTTCTCTGGAGAATGCTGTGGCTCAGCTAAAAAAACAAGGTCTACTGTCAGCAGAAACTGTGGGACAACTCATCAATTCTGTCTCCAATAAACTGAACAGTCAATCAGATCAAGCAAACTCAGCGGACCGACAAAAGGTAAATGCAACGTTAAAATTTCAACAGCGTCGTACCACAAAGGTTACCCATAAAGGAGGAGGAGTTACTCCTGATGCCAGCCTTTGTCATCAGGGTAGAAGATAAAATGAGGGCAGAACTCCAACTCAGATAACAGGACAGACAAGAACTTTTCAGAAACTTGCACTGAACGTGCTGTGTATGTATGTATGAATTTAAAGTGGGCTACAGACTCAAACCTAGTTTAATTCCTATTGTACTTACGCAACATTAATCTGTTAAGTAGATTGTTCTCCATGTTCTCCACTGGAACTAATTTTCATAATGCATCCAAATGCTGTGTAGGAGGTCTGGACATTAGTAGGCTCCTGAATCTACACAACTTGCTTCAGGCTGAAGGAAGAGCTCAAATCACTGCCTGACAATCTATTCATTTATTTTGACCTTATTATTATCGTAGATCTATTTTAATGTTTCTTTAATTTTATTTATATTTGTTGTCTGGTGTCTGTATTTTGTATGCACTTTACCCTTTACACAACCTTTTTTGTGAAGAACTTACAGTGCCCCTATGAATGAAATCTTCACTATTATCATTTTTATAATAAACCAGATGTGTTCTAATGCTTTTGTCTGTCGAAGCTTCGTGAGAAAATGTTGGACATACTGATGAATACAGTAAAAGAAGCTCCGACTCTAACCCCTGAAGAAGTCCAGGTGATAGCTAGAGCGCTTGCTGCTGTGATCCAGATGGGCACTGAGCTCAGCCGCTGTGCTCAGGTACTGTCCAGTGAACCCCACACACAGTCAAACATGGTACAATAGGGAAAAGTAAATTCAAGTCCTGCTTTCACTGTTGTTGACTGCTTTTTGTCTTTGTAGCATTGTACTTTGTATGTGTATTTAAAAAGCGTAGAAGTGAGATTTGTAATGGTTGCATCTGACAAAAACCTCCCCAAAATATGTTTGTGATGACAAGAATTGATTTCCATCTTCAGGAGAAGGCTTCACTACTGTTTGAAAACCTAAGTTCAGATCTACTATGCATGAAAGTCATTGAAAGTGAAGACACCGTGATTGAAATTCACGCTGCAGTCAGTGCCATTTTGGAGGGAGTGTGCCGTATCCTGGACTTTTCTTGCAATGTGAGTGTGTCACCATCCTCCTCGTCTCCACCCCGTTAGGACAACTTTCAGTATGCAGGGCAAAAAAAGGGGCTGGCTTTTAGTGATTCTTGTGACTTGTAATAGACCATATCTCTGTAAACTATGATTGTCTAACATCTTGAGTTGAAAGGTCGCCCCGTAATTCATCAATCATTCTGGAATATGAATCTCACCTGAATGTCTAAATTAGCAGGTAACTGAAAGGGATTGAAACACGCTTTCGCTTGTCGTAAACGGTTTGTCTGCTCTGTTGCAGAAAATTGCCTGTGATGCCGCTTTGCTTACTCTGAGCAATACACAGAGTGCACTGTTAGCATTTAAAGATGTCGACAAAGCTCCAACTATCATCCGCGAGCGTCACCTTTGTGTGTTTGTTAATAGGTAAGCTCTTCTTCCGGCACGGAGATGTAAAGAAATACAAATTTGTAACGCTTAGAATTTCTTTTTTTGGTGGAGAGATAGGTAGATATTCCTCTCATGGCTATGATGAGACTACTCAAATGAACTAGAAAGGTCTACCTCTTGCTCAGTTTATTTGATTGGTAGCGAGACTGGTGAGACATTGATGAGCCATATAACTCTAAGCGTTGAGCTGAAAAGTTGACAGACAATGCATTGTGCAAGGGAGTAGTGCTCAATGGTTCTGCTGTTTTTTCTCGTAACACTTCTAAACGGCATCAGAATCAAAATCATTTTGGTCTGTTCTAGAAACTTTGAAAAAAAGAAGGCACAACTGACTGAGAACTAACTAACTAACCAAATGGCGTACATGTTTCTCTTCAATCTTACCCCTCAGAGTGACAGTGGGAAACTTACATAAAGAGATTATAAACACTCCCAACTGTTCCAGCATGACATTTTCTCTCCCAGCACTCTCCAAAATAGGACCTTCATATGAACCAGTGGATGTACGAGTAAGTCAAGAGTGCTGTTTTGTTTATGTGTGCGTATTGTGAGTACCTAATGTCACATCTCAATTTGCCCGAAGCTAAGCTTTATTTAATTTGCGGAAAGATATCCATCTATATCTACTTATCTATCTATATATTGTGTATTTTCATTGATGTAATTTCCTGCTTTTAAGCAGCCTACATACCAATAAAAATATTCAATAAAATAAAAAATGGTTCACTCCATACACAGTCAATAGGAATTCCGCTCCACCGCAGTGCTGATGCCACACACATTTAACTCCATCTACCTTGCTCAAGAGTTTAACATTTAAGACTTTTCCATTAAAACGTGGGTCATCTATCATTGGGAAATGCCAGATTTTTGCACACTTTTAGAGATGATGTAAGTATAAGGAATAAACATGGTAAAACTTGAGTGATAAAAGCTTATTGGATGCATCGTACGTAGATCGTAGATCCCACGTTTTTCTAAATTGAAAATTAAAAACGGCTTGTGGTGATTAAGCTTTGTTCCATGAATACTTTTACAGATGCTGACTTTAGAGCAAAACCCATTTTGCTGGAATAAAAGGGGGAGCATCAGTGGCAAAATAGGTGCTGTCTCCCTCACAAGAGAAGATGGTTCTATAATCCCTGTGGAGAACCTGAGCGAAAACATAAAGGTCAGCGCAAGGTTGTGTCATTTTCCAAAATGCATTTTGTAGTCTAATATATGACATAAGAAAAGTGGGGTTTATCGGCCACAGCAACTATCTTTTGATGTGATTTCAGTTCATTGCAGGCTCATCCTGTCAACAATAAAACTGATAATCAGTGAATGACACCAAGTATGTTTAAGTCAAAGCCTTCCCGCACATGGCACTAAACGTCTCATGCCATTTTGTGATTCTTTCTATTGCTCATTTCATTAGAGTAGAGGGATTTTCCCCTCTAAAGTTTTTTTTTACGGAATGTGTTAGTTTGACATCTAGAGGGTTTATCTTATTTGTTTCAAATTTGGCTGCTATAATCCTACAACTAATTTGAGGTTAAATTGCAGAAAACAGACAAACAATACTGTACTTTTCCTGGTCCACAGATTCTCATACCAAGGCCTGAAGGGGAGAAGGTGAAAACCTCTGTTTTGGACCTGAGGGACTACAGCACAACAGTCATAGACATTCCTTCAGATGATTCTACGCTCGTATTAAAGGTCCAGTGAGATGCTTCGATTTCTATTTCTGAGATGTGTTATTGTCACTTGTATTAATATCTGCTATGGTCTACTTTGATATTATGAACTTGCTGTTTTATAAGCTAGACACTCTTGGCACAGCCCCCAGAATTGCTGACGCCATAAATGATTCTACTGTTAAATGTTTTCTTAGGATTAGTCATCTAATATTAATAGCATGATTCTAAATACTCAACATTTTGGAAATATTGGAAATGCTGCCATTATATAATAACTACACTGTTCAAAGTCATATTAGTTGTCTTGCCCTTTCTTTTGCTTTTGCAATGAGAATTTAACTGCTACTATGCTTACGATTATTTCTAAAGATGGTGCCTTCATATGATCCTTTACCCCTCAAACTGTTCCTTGGTTATATGGACTACCCAACTAAAACAAATCATGTTGCAATGACAGAGATGCCTCACCAGGGAGAAACACAAGGTAGTTAATAGCTTTGCTTTGTGCTCGAGATGGTATTTAACTTGATGCCTTTCACATTTTGAAAAGATTGACTGAGTACCTGTGTGTTTGGCTTGAACAGAGGAGAGATACACTTGGCTACTAGACGCTAAGGATTTAAAGGGAAACCGTGGAAAACACTATCTTGTAGTGAGGCCCATTGTAGGTCCCGGTATAAAATCCATCAATGCAAGTTTATCCATCACCTCCTTCACTACCGCCTGTAAATTCTGGAATGAATCAACATTGGAGTGGAGCACTTTTGGATGCAGGGTAAGTTCAGTAATTGAATCGGCCTGTTATGTGTCACATTGTTTAATCTACGATATTGACAGTGAATGTTATCTCAAGCAAGGTTGGTGTTCAAACCACACCTCTAGTAATCCAGTGCCTCTGCAACCACCTCACCTTCTTTGGGAGCTCTTTTTTCGTCACTCCCAACCTGGTAGACCCGTCACGCACCGCGGAGCTGTTTGGCACTTTTGGTGAAAACCCTGTGGTTGTCTGCTTTGTGGGGGCTCTCTTTTTGGTGTATCTTTTGGCGATTGTGTTGGCACGACGTAAAGACATTAAAGACATTGTGAAGGTACATATGTTCATTACCAGAGTTTGATTCATTTACCCAAAACGCAATCCCAATTACAACCGATTCATCTGTATGGTGTTGGGTGGTTTACAGGTGAAGGTAACTGTGCTGGCGGACAACAACCCCATGGACGAGAACGGCTACCTGTTGAGTGTCAGCACAGGGTATCGGAGAGGAGCCTCCACTTCTTCCCAGGTTAATATGTAATCACTTAATAGCAAATGGTTAACATTTAGGTTTGGTGGAAAAAAAGCTCTCCTGTTTAGGGAGCCCACAGCCGATAAAAGCTCTGCGCTCAAAGAGATGTTGTTACACGAATGACCGGAGACACAAGTCTGATAAAGAGAAGATACTTGTTTATTATCAACAGATGATATGTGATGACAGAGTCTTAGATGCTTTCCCTCTACAAGGAGGTTTGTCCTCATGTTGTGTATGAATTGTTCATTAGCAAGATAAATCTCTGGTGGTGGTGGCTGATGAGGCAGATTCCATGATGAGTGGAGCTGATGAATCTGTGAAGACTAGGTACAAGTGCGAAGGTGGAGGGATGTGTGGGAACAGCAACATGAACGTGCTGGAGATAGAGAGACGTTCAAAAGAGTCAATTACAAGATGATGTAATTGTTTCGTTGAGCTTAATGGATGAAAAGGAGGCCAGCTTTTTTCTCTATGTTGTGTTTCCAGCTGGTCTGTTTTGGTCCACTAATAATCAATTCGATAAAATATCAATGTAACAAATCAATTTCATTTAGAAAAAAAGCCTGTAATACAGTATTTGTGTATTTGTTTAATGTATTTGTTTGGACTTCTTCTTGTGTGTGTGTTCTTGTACAAGTGTTTGTATTGGTTTTGAAGTTGTCAGTTTTAAAATGAAGAACACCTCCCTGTTTAAGGTGACCATCACTCTGCTGGGTGCAGAGGGAACCAGTGAACCACATCACCTGACGGATCAGAAGAAATGTGTGTTTGAGAGAGGCGCGGTGGATGTGTTCCTGCTAACTACACCCTTCTCCCTGGGAGACCTGCAGGGCATCAGACTGTGGCACAACAACTCAGGAAGCCATCCTGCCTGGTAGGCAATTACAGAAATGTAACCCCAAATGATCATCGGCAAGATGTATGTACGTTTGAATTAAACAGAAGCCATGGTTCGTATGTTAAAGTTGTCATGGCCTAGAAGGCCAGGGAGACACAATATAATTAACTTGTTTTACTGTACCCTGACATTGCAGATAATTGCTCACTCTTTTGTCAAGGGAACAATGTATTTAAATAGTATTCAGTTGTACATTTTATGATATCTGTGAAGCAATTTTGTCATTTTTCTATATCTCAATCTCTCCTAATTTCACATTTGCAAAAGCCTTTGCATTATTTAAATTTTCTTTTCTCAGGTTTGTTGGCAATGTTGCAGTTCATGATATACAGACCGATCAGACATGGCATTTTCAATGCAACTCCTGGCTGGCTATAGACATAGGGGATGGTACTGTCGATAAAGTTGTTCCTGTTTCGACTGAAATGGATATGAAGAGATTCAGGTAAAGTATAAGAGGCAATGAAGTGTAACTGTGGTATTCAAACAGATATATCATACTTATATAGGCAGATAATAAGAATGACCAGGGTTGAATGCAGGTGTTTAAATGAGGATGGAGTTTGGTTGGAAGTCAGCCTGATTTTTATGTGTTGGCGGTAAAGATCAAGGAATCGGGCCGCTGTTTGTCCAAGTACTGATATCCAGTCAATGAAAGAATACATCAACTTTAAAGAGGTCTTTCAGAAAGATGCATAATTAATTTGACTTGAACAAAATAGAACTGAACTGGCGGTGATGAAACAAACAACCCCTCACTAATTAACTGTTAAAAGTGTTACTTGCTACTTTGGTTTTCCAGTAACTTGTTCTACATGAAGACTACCAAGGATTTCAGTGATGGACACCTTTGGTACTCTGTGATCAGTCGACCACCAGGCAGCAACTTCACTTGTGTTCAGAGAGTCTCCTGCTGTTTTACACTGCTGCTCTGCACCATGCTGACCAGCATCATGTTTTATGGCATCCCAACGGACCCCTCGGAGCAGACCATGGACCTGGGTACAACACTTTTCTATAAATTGAAAGAAATGTGTAGTTTATGACGAAACAGAAATATCATATTCATTGAAGAATGTCTATTTTTATATAAAGAAAGATATAACTCACTGAATCCAATGTATTTTAGCATTAAAATATAAATGAAGTGATGAAGTGATAACACTTTCCTCAGTAAACCTCAGCTTTGAATGCTAAATGAATTGCATACAGCCTTGATTTAAAGACAAATGCAGTGTATATCTTCATGGATTTGTATATCACAAAAACAGCGTCATCATCTTCTTCCCTCGCTCTGTGTTTTTTCAGGTCCCTTTGAGTTCAGCTGGCAGCAGTTCATCGTTGGAGTTCAGAGTTCACTCATCATGTTTCCCGTTAATATCCTTATTGTTAGCATTTTTAGAAACACTCGCCGACGGGAGACGTCTTGTTGCAAGCGCAAAACCAAAAAGCCACGTGCCCGTGGAAAGAATTATTTTTTACAGACTGTGACCACCAACACAAGGGTTGATGTTTCTTTAGATACCATCATCGAGGTAGGTGCTTGTTACGACCCCCGGTTTTGTCTGTGTTCTGTGTGTGTGATAACCCTCCTCAGGTGGAGCTAATTGTCTTCATTACTCATCCGCCCTCCCGTGATCTCCTACAGCTGGTTCCTGTTTTCCCATCCTCCAATCGCATCGTCCCATCAGCTGTATTTATGTGTTTCTGGTTGTTCAGTCCAGATCCCTCAGACAGGCGTGGCCCAGGGATGGACCCCGGGCCGCAAGATGCGTTCAAAGTGTCAATGATCAATGTGTCCTGCAAATCACATTACTTCTCGCAGCTAGCTGCGTTCTTCATCCCCTCAGTCGCCGCAGAGATCCCCCGTTCCGCTGGGCCGCCGCAGCGATCCCCCCCCGTTCCCGCTGGGCCGCCGCAGCGATCCCCCCCCGTTCCCGCTAGGCCGCCGCAGCGATCCCCCCCCGTTCCCGCTGGGCCGCCGCAGCGATCTCCCCCGTTCCCGCTGGGCCGCCGCAGCGATCTCCCCCGTTCCCGCTGGGCCGCCGCAGCGATCTCCCCCGTTCCCGCTGGGCCGCCGCAGCGATCTCCCCCGTTCCCGCTGGGCCGCCGCAGCGATCTCCCCCGTTCCCGCTGGGCCGCAGCGATCCTCCCCCGTTCCCGCTGGGCCGCAGCGATCCTCCCCCGTTCCCGCTGGGCCGCAGCGATCCTCCCCCGTTCCCGCTGGGCCGCAGCGATCCTCCCCCGTTCCCGCTGGGCCGCCGCGATCCTCCCCCGTTCCCGCTGGGCCGCCGCGATCCTCCCCCCTTCCCGCTGGGCCGCCGCGATCCTCCCCCCTTCCCGCTGGGCCGCCGCGATCCTCCCCCCTTCCCGCTGGGCCGCCGCGATCCTCCCCTTCCCGCTGGGCCGCCGCCGCAGCGATCTCCCGCTCCGAGACTCTCAGTCCCTGCCCCGAAGCCCCCAGCTATTGCGTGTTTAAGTACTGGGTTACGTTTGGTTGTTTTGTCGCAAACTGGAGGTTTGCTGTTTTTGTGGTGGGCGTGTTACGACCCCCGGTTTTGTCTGTGTTCTGTGTGTGTGATAACCCTCCTCAGGTGGAGCTAATTGTCTTCATTACTCATCCGCCCTCCCGTGATCTCCTACAGCTGGTTCCTGTTTTCCCATCCTCCAATCGCATCGTCCCATCAGCTGTATTTATGTGTTTCTGGTTGTTCAGTCCAGATCCCTCAGATAAAGAAGGCCGCTGGATGCATGAAGTGCCGCGATTTGCAGTAAACATTTATCATTGACACTTTGAACGCATCTTGATTCCGGGGTGCATCCCTGGCGTTCCCTGTCTGAGGAACTGCGCTGTACACCCAGTACCATAAATCAGCGTTGGGGCTTGCGTTGGGAATTGGTAACTG